GTACACAGTGCTTAGACCAGTCATAGCGTTTCTACCTTTAAATCAGTCTGGTCTTCGTACCGGCGATTTCTGCATTCTCCGCTTTTTATTATTTCTCCCATCGTTTCACATTCTGCTTTGAAAATCAGACGCGAAGTAAGACTTCACGTATATCAAGAGACGAATGAGGATGGCGAGTAAAAAAATTCACGGATGAACGAGGAAAGAGAGTCGGAGAGAGATAGGGACACGCAGGGAGGACAACTCTTGCCAGCGACTATACCTCTTAATCCAGATTGAAAATATGTAAATAAATCCACTCGCGGCACGGAGGATGCCCATTCTGTATTCCCCGTCGAAAAAGTATTTTAATAGAAACGATTCATCATTCCGTGGGGGCCCCCGCGCTCTTTTTCTTCACCACTCCGCCGAGTTCCGCTCGATCCTTTTCTCTCCTCTCCTTTCTCCCGCGTATACAAAGGACCCAGCAGCAACTCCCTAACCTCCTTTAACTTCATTTTCCATACTCGATGAAGTCCGGCTACCTTGACTCTTCTCGATCTTCATGGATTCCTTGCTTGGATTTTCATTATTATTTCTTTTACCCATCCCGTCCCTTCCCCCCTTATTACTTTTTGCAAATTTTATACGAGAAACCGTCGAAGATGACATTGAAATTTGATCTGCCTACTTATCGAACGTCTTGACTAGTTTGCAAATTAAATTTTCGCTCGAGGCATTGATATGTATATATATGGTATATACATATATGCATTTTTATTTTACCCACCTTGGCCTGTCGGGCGTCCAGGTACCAGACGTGGAAATTGCACTTTTATGAATATATGTCTATTTCATGAAACGATCGGTTACACCTTCGGCTATTTTATTACTGGTCGTTTAATTACTCACATAAATACCGAATACGTTCTCAAGCTGCAAACGTGCACTTTGGGTTACTTCGAGGCAGTACTATCCGGGAAAATTAGCAATTGCCATGAGTATTATTAACGTGTCTAGTGTTTCTATTGGCGCTGATCGTCTAACCGCGAGGAAGTGTTTGACCGCGTTTCCAAAATAGGAACTAAAGTCGCCCAGAGATATATTACTATATATATATATATATACACATACTAATAGACAGCCGTGATTATACTACTCGGTACCATAAATCGTCCGGTTTGAATATAAAATTTTCCCGCCTATTTCCTACGTCTATTTAATGCCATTGAAAAATTTTATGACAATGGGAATCATTGAATACGTCATTCGAGGCCTAAACTCATAAAAGCCTTAGTAAATTACACGCTCAGCGCCATGAGACCCCGTTTGTAAAATCCTCAGTGAAATTTCTTCCGTGAAGCAAAGTATAACCGGATAACAGGCAGTGTATGCAGATACACGTATGCACTTCCATAAATGAAAATAGTCTCGTCCGGAAAGTTCGATGGGTTGGAGTGGTTAGAAAGGGGTAGTGAAGCCCCCTCCCTGACGAATAATATCCAGGAGAAAGGGGAATAAAAGGGAATTCGCTCCCCTGAAATCGCAGTAAGACCAGATCGTGAGAGAGGGTGAGACCGAAGGGGCAAGATGAGGGGGCGAAGAGGGAAGGAAGAGACCGGGCCCTGGGCACTATGGCGGGTCCACTATAAATCTCAAAAGTTTTTAATGCCTTGCAGGCTGCAAGGGGCCCCTCTTCGTCCTCGTCGTCATCCCTCGCCCTCTCGCGAGAGTCCCCCCTAAGTCGTATTTGCATACGCGCATAATAGCGCTTTCGACCTACCCCCTTTACTATTAATTTTATAAAATTATTCAGGCCATTCGTACGGCTGCGTAACCGTGCGCCCAGCCCGCTTATTTAAATAACGGATTCTCGAAATCTCGTTTTATGCCAGATTGCAGGGGATGGTGGTTGCCGCGTTAGCGACACTTTATTGTGTGTCAGTGCGTCTACCATAACCTGCGATACATATTGCATATATACAGATATATACATATGGATACGTAAAAGGGGAGATCAACCAAGAATATACGTACAGGGGTCCGAAAAAAAAAAGTGAATTCGTTTAACGATACCTGTGACTGTCGTACCCGGGAAGTAAAAAAAAAAGTGTTTTAAATAATAAAAAAAAATATTGCCATCTTTTAGAAAAACGAAGGCAGACAATTTCGTGAACTGTTGAGACAAATTTCCTAAGAAGCTATACGAGGTGCACGTGAAAAATTTATTATCAAGTTCGTTAACGGGTGTCGACCTTTTTTTTCTCTCGATTTAACGCGCGCATGCAAACGTGCCCGTGTGTCCTGTCGGTCCAGTTCGATTTCCAAATATACGTACTATAAAAATATATTTTCACCGTTAGTCTAACGCGGCCATTGGCGTGAGATCGTTGTAACAGCTTTCCACTGTGCCAGTCGAATGGCTGTGAGACTTTGAATTTTTATTATTTCTCAACTTTTTTTTTTTAATTATTTTCTCCTTCAAATATCAAGTTCACCGATACCTGTCCAAAGATCCGGGATTGGTTGTTCACGCTAGCTCCGCGATCGCGACCATTAATTATCCCTCGTGTTCCTATTAATTATTCGTCGAACGAGACTCTCGAAGAACCTCCGGGCGTGGATCGACACTCGTTTAACGGTTCGTACGTACAGTCGCTGATACCGATAACGATTTCCGTGTTAGCGCGAGAGAAGGACGCGATGTACGAAAAAAGAAATTGAACCGACGCGGAGAAAAATATAAAATAAAAATTAGAACTCCCCATCAGCCACTACGGGCTGTACCCGATACCCGGGACAATTTTTCCGCGCCATTGCCCATACCCATTAAGACGTTTTAGCGTATTTTGAGAAATGAGCACCAAGGCTCCATTGGTCTCTGGGTTCTCTACTTGCAATTAGATAGTAGCTATGCCCACTCTTACACAGACGTTACGCGCTACTCGTATTCAGGTCTAAATAGTTGGAGTTACGCTAAGTGCCCTAACCAGATTAGTAAGTTGTTGCGTGCTCTATTTTTAACGCCTCGTCGTTTGAAACGCTTTAAAGGAATTTAGCGGAGAGCTTTGTTCGTCGATGGGACCTGTACGTAGTTATAAGTCATGCATAGTTAGGCACACTGTGACAGCGGAGGGAGTCACGCCGTTGGCAGCACTGCTCAGCTGGGTTGCGCACGTATGGTATATACCGGGTGAATTTGTCCTCTTTTGATTTTACGTCATTGAAAGTGCAGCCTATAGAAACTCATATGTAACGTGCGATTAGATAACGTTGTATGAGAATAATGTGAGAAAGAGAGCTTCTTGTTTCTTCCATGGACGTGCACGGGTATAGTTCTAACGCGGTGGGATGGAATTTTATTTCTCTTTATTTGGTATCGCCCGTAACAGTACGTAACTGCCTTTTTAACTAGGCTTAAAATTACGAATATTATGACTTGGCGCGGTTCTTGGAATTCTATGTTTTTCATTCTTTAATCTCGGCCTCTCGCATTTCACACCGTATCTTAGCAGTGTTATTCTGTTTGTCTCTCTCTCTCTCTCTCACACTTGGATTAGGTGCGCGCACGAAGTCGTCGCTTTTAAATTTGCAGTATGGCGATTCTCTGGGTTTCGTCGCAATACGAACTTTATTTTGCTCTTGCGATGGCTATGATTTTTTCTTAAAAGATAAATGACCCTCGGTCGAACCGTATAACGTGGGCACGTGCGATAACCTGTTGATTCACCGTTTTGAATTTGGCGCGCAGAAACTCTTTCCCCGAGTTGCTGACTCGACTCTTATTTCTTTATTTATATGCAGTCTCTCTCTTCTTGCTACTTATGTCTTTCCTTCCTTCCTGACTACCTACCTACCTACCTACCTACCTGCTTGCCTGCTATCTATATTCTACTAGCCAAACCCGGGCCCCGTGGAAACGATAAATAATTTATTTTAAGCCAGTCGAATTTGAATAATCTCCCGGGATTCCAGAAGGCACTCCAGAAGCCGATGAGAGGAGAGTCTGCGTCTGCCAGAGGCGCGCACGGCCTGGCAACATTCAAGTGTTTGACGAATGTTACGTTGGCTTTTTTGTTTCCTCCTTCTGGCAACATAAGCGTCGAGCTATGTCGAGTGTTCTTCGCTCTCACGGACGCGTTTCTGTACGCTCTATGTACCTTGCACGCACTCGGGACGATTTCAAGTCCGAGAGACCGATTGCCAGGCACTGGTCTCTGGAAACGATAAGGAGAGACAGAGTGAGAGAAAGAAAGTACAAAAATATCATTTAGACAATAGGAATTCGAGCCTCGTAGTTCGCTTTATTCGGGAGCATCGGAACTACCCTGAAATACGTAGAATTAAAGATAGACGCGTATAACACTGGAATCTAGGTCGCGAGCGGGAATTTCGAAAATGTTCAATGAATCCCATGGCGCGTCACCCTTTAAATAGTCCATCCCCTACAGCCCAACCCAATATACAGTTTCGCGAGTGCGTACTGGCAGTTTCTACGTACTTTTCAGCCAGTCTCTACCACTGAATTTCATATGTATGCATGTATACCTATGTGCAACGGGGTGATAATGTATTCAAGGTCCGCCCCGTAGTGTCGTGGTGGGGTGAAATGGGGCGGCCCAGTCGCCGTAGGTACTGTAACAGATGTTAATTATCCCTTCTGTATAGTCAGCAAAAAAAATACGGGTTACGATTCGAGTTCTTTGTGTATGTTAGCCGTAAAATTTTATCCGAATTTTTATCTGTCAAATTTCAATTCTATGAAACAGTGTGTTAGGTTCGTTAAGACACTATCATTGCCAATTGAACATCGGTATCAATTTCTCTCTTGTACGTCATGCGCTCACGGACTTCTTTGTCTTCGTTCATTTTTACCATTCAAAATCTGTCTCTCTCTTACACGTTACGTATTGTAATACCTAGCCTTAGAAAATACTCTCCTCTATAATTCGCCCTCGTGCTTTGAGTGTTAACACATAGATCCTGCATGTACTCATGTTCCTGTATGGTTTTTGTTTCAGGATGCTCTGAGGTCTCTCTCAGGCAGGTTCGAGATGTCCGCCGTAACCAGCCCGTATGGACCCAGTAAGTTTATCCTCCGTTTTTATGCTCCCAAAGAATTTTTATATGTACTTAGCATTATTACGTGACCGAAGTACCTATAGATATTCTGTTGATCAAAAAAACGTATAAACAGCACACGACTCGTAGTTTTTTTTTTTATATCAAGTATAAACTGTAAAGAATTTGTCGAATTTATTAAATCTTCGAGTCTCTTTCGAAAGTAAGTAAAATTACAAAATTTTTTTTCCTTCTGATGTATCACGATTTTCCCTCAGCGGAGATGCTTTCCGACTCGGTTTACAACTATGCGACGTCCCGTGGAGGCGGTGCCGATCAGGACAGCGACTCGCAGTTCGAGACGCCGAGTCAACTGCAGATAAGCAGCCAGAAGCCGCGAAACAAGCGAAAGAACTTCAAGCCAATAAGTAGTCGGATGGCCGAAGTGTCGGATGACTCCGAGAGGGACGACGAGGACGAGGTCGTCGAAGCGGCTTCGAACGACGTCCTCGATTACGAGAGGAAGAAGATGCTACCAGTCGAGGAGAGATCGAAGCAAAGACTCAATAATAACGAAGCCAGTCCCATTGATCTTTCCGTGGCGACTAGGCCGCCGTCCTCGGAAGCGGACGACGACAGCGGCGACTCCCTCAGGCACAAGTTCATCCTCGAGCAGCTCAGGTCGCAGAAGCTCTACTCCCCAGGAGCCGAGGTCAGTATTGCTCATCTTTCCCCAGTGTAACCCGACCTTTAACGGCCTCCGATGAACGTTCCTCTTCTCTTGACACTGTGCTGTACACGTATATTGTATCTTTCTCTTACTCTTGCGTCAGGTAAGAAGTCCCACGTCGGATTCCTCGGAGAAGAGTGGAAGTGGCGCCCTGGATAACGACTCCGGTCGTCTCGACGAGCAGGAGCCGCAGTTCGAAGACGACAGGGCTCAGGATGGGGAACACGAAGGAAGGATACCTACCGAAGGTATGAGGGAATACGCGGAATCGACCATGCAGGAGTTACTGGCGATATATGGTCTCGCCGGTGGCGAATTGGCCAAGTCCCTCAGCAGGCAATTGCCACCCACGTTTCTGAATCCACCCGCTAGTCAGCAGCAGCAGCAGCAGCCTCAAGGTCAGTGGTCGAGATGAATATCTTTCGATAGGATATACTCGAGTTGTACGAGTTTCGTGTGAGATAAGACATTTTCAAGGAAGAAAATATGCATTTACTTTTTTTTTTTTTATTACGAAAGTGTGTTTTGGTAGGACGAACGGACTATATAAAATATTTATAACTGTAACTACGATTATAAATTATCACGTTGGGACGTACTGAAAATTGAACTGCAGTGTCTGGAAATGATTTTATGCGTGAATAGTTGTAATATATATATTATTTGTAAAATTGTCATATTCGAGGATAGAGAGAGGCAGGGAGGGTAGAGATAGATATGGTAGAAAGAAAAGTGTAAAGCTATTTCTTGAAACAGAGTCCGTGACAGTCAGTTATACCTAACAAAGAAAATTGCTAGGAAAATCATTCGTTTAATGTAAGTACGACCACGTGCACCCGGACTAGGTACGTCTTGTGTTCTTGATTGGGCGAGACGGCATTTACCGAGACGCGGCCATTATTGTGGCAGTTCCACAATACGATCCGTCGTTAATACCCTTGCACGCTTCCGCTCGACTCAACGGCTTAACTCCCGAGGTCGCCAGATCATCCCGTAAAAAGAGGAGAGAGTCTACTGCCGCGTGCAGTGGGCGTCGACGGGAAACGCATCTACGCAAAATATCGAGGCACAATATCGCGATGGATACGGCGAAGATTTTTCCGAGGGGAGAAACTCTCGTAAGAAGTCTGGACAGGGATTTTTTTTCCAGAGTCAAGCACGAGCAGCATGCGAGTCCCGCTGTTGGACCGCCTACAGGGAATAGCACGTCCATGGGGAGATGCGTAAAAAATTAATAAAATATTTTTTTATTTCGATGTTGAAATTTTTTAAATCGTATCTAAAATATCAACTGGATTGAGATAATCGAAATTTTTTTTTGTATCTCATATATCGGGTGTTGTCGCATTTCGTGAATTCTCCGATCGGTAAATAAATGATTTTTCTTATATTACGTTAATTATTCTTCCAATTCAGTCTCCATTGTATACACCAGACAGAGAGTATTGCTTACGATAGACGTTCCCTTGAGCTTTGTTGTGACTATATGCAGTATAGCCTGTATATACTACAGGTGCCGGTATTGTACTCAACTAGCATTGGGATGAGTATATTCGCATGTAACGTAGTTTTTAGAATCGACTGTACGAACGCAGAACAGAATGTGGCACTTACATATTGCCGGTGCCGGCTTCACATATGCGCGCACGTGAATATGTGATGGCTCGCAAGATGGCCGACTTATAACTCATAAAGTCGGTCGGTCGGACTACGCCAGAAGCTGCTGACTCGTCGTTCGCGATCGATGGATGCTTTCGCTGTACGATCATCCGTCGGGGCTTCTCCCTAACGCATGGTCATCAGTAGCCACGTAACAAGTTCACGTGGTACTGCGTGTCAACCGCGATGCGTAATTACACGGGCGTTCGTTGGTACCACGTGTACCTTCCATAACAGAAGTAAAAGCACGTGACAATGTTCACGAAACGTCTGAGCGTAGGATCCTTGATGAATTACAGCCGTTTTTTCTTCTCGTTGCTTCGAATAAAAAAGTGTACAAGGGGGAAAAAAAGCGCGTATAACCGTCATCGTTTAACCTCATCGAAGAAAATTTCCTGCTTCGAGCAAGAAACCGAGGGCACGTATATACGAATGAGCCACGTCACGTTTTTCGTGAGCGACTCCTTGTTCAGTGGTTAGTGGCGTTAAATCGAAATTGACGCGGTTCGTGTCGCGCCATTTCTTACAGCTGGGACGTCAAAGTAAAGCGGAAGGTCCGCTTACGTTATACCAACATTGAGTATACGTGGGATCATCCCTTGAAGGAATACGGACTTGGTTCACTCATTGTCCCAGCTATACCGAGAGGGTTGGGACATTCCATGTAAATATAGTCACGGTATAACAAGAGACGAGCTGGCCTGGCTCTTGGTACAAAGACTGTAGGAATTCTTGGATCAGGAAATCTCGGACTGCCGGGCTGAAGGTGAATGGCGTTACAGTGATATACAGTGATAGCGAACCTGAAGTCTCACAATCAGTCTCACCGAGATAGAAGCTTAGAGAGCGTGTTCGCTCGGACTTAGAGAATACGTGTCTGTCTCTGGTATAGGCGCGCGCGCGGTTGTCTGTATTATCCTCGCGAGAAAACCAGAAAACCTTCCGAACGTCGTACTTCTCTAGACCCATTAATCATTCCTCTTGGATAAAGGCAGAAGGATGAAAAGAGAGATGGAACGATGGACGGACGGGACCAGACGGATGGACAGACCAGAGAGGCAAGGCAGAAGCGTCCACGATGCCCGGGCTTCACGAGCGGTGCCCATCATTTTTTATTTTTCGAATTTCGTCGGACGTGTCCATTGTCAGTTCCTCTCTTGGACTCCTCTCTGCCGTCTTCCTTTCTTCTTCTTCTGCTTCCTCCTCTTCGTCTTCTACCGGTGCTTCTTCTCGAATCCTTTGGCTCTACCGGTACGCTCCCTCTCTCGTAGCTCTCTTTGTGGTAGCCACCCCCGTTATGTTGAACGGCGACGAGGCCACTGCGAGATTCATTAACTGATAACCGTATTTTTTTTTCTCTTTTTCTTCGAACCATTTTTAAAACGATATTCCTGGGACGAACGGGGGTTCCCCGAATTTTCTATTTTTTTTCCAATGCCCGCGACTCGAGTCACCACCCGTTGCGAGCTCCAAAATTTCAAATCGACCTCTGCGCCTTATATTCAACGTTCGAATGCCGGACGGGTTTAATTTGAGATCTCAACGGTAAGCTTTAGGAGGGAGGCCGGGGGGGGGATACTACCGAGCTGGCGATGGAGAGCGAGAGAGAGAGAGAGGGCGAAGGAGAGAAAGAGAGAGAATCGGATTAGAGGCATTAAGGGGAATCCGGATCGCTCTGCTTTTATATTTTTCTATATACAGGCACACTCACACGCACTTACGATTCCTAGATCGAAATCGGAGCCCCTTACTTCCCGACAAAGCGCGACAGCTCAGACCATCCCGTCTGTGCGTGCAGTTTCCTGCCGTGCTTTCTTTTTCTTTTTTTTATCGTTACTTCACTTTATTGCCGCTAGGCGCGCCACTTTTGCGCTACTACGTATCTTCATTCTTTTTGATGCGTCCCACTTGACGCTTTCCTCGGAATTGGTAGCCGGGACTGACTGTGCCTGAGCTTTTGCCCGTGGCGCGTTACCCGCTCTGCGCTCTGTGCGAACGAGAGAGACGAGATCGTGAAACGTTTTATGAAAGATTTTACGACGCGAAACGGAGTCGGGCCTGCTTCTGGTACACACGTGCTGATCTCGCGTGGCATCATTCGCACGAGAGACCAAGAAGAGACAGAAGAACCAGCAGTGACGGAGATCGGCACCGAGTCCCTTTCGCATACGGCAATACCAGGACCCGACTCTGTAAGTTGATCTGTACACGCTACCCAACTGTGTACCTAAAACTATCGATCCTCATCCAAGGTAATATTGGCCTTTGTCAGTTAATACATGTTTTCGAGCGTTTCCGGGTCAATTGGATCTTCTATGCTTTTTCTTTCCGTCAATTGACTTCTTCTGTCACTCAATGATCTTACTCTGTTTCGCTGGCTGGGGACCAGTCCCACTTTTCTTGATCTACGTATCGGTCGACTCTCTTCGCTCTTTCTACACTTTGCTATAGTCCGTGCGCACTCGTATTCTCTCCGGGAGCCGTCTGTATGGGAATTCGAGTTTTTGTGAAATTACACGAATTCTCTTCGGGTTAATGATTATTTCAGGCCCATCTGCGCTCGATCGGTCTCTGAGTAGTGCTCAGCTTTAGTGGACTCTCTACGTTGGAGAGAGAGAGAGAGAAAGAGAGACCGAGCGAGACTCTCGTGAGATCATAGCTCCTTTTCTGTGGCCACGCTTAGTTCACTCCTTTTTTCCCGTGGCATCTTGTTTATTTTGCCCGTCAACTCGCTGACACTCGGACATTCGTTTAAATTTAGGATTCAATGGGGTCCTTTTACTCTGCGCCTTTCGAATCTTAACGGATTCCGTCGCTAACGCTCAAGATTATTTGTTTAATTCCGATCATCTCCTCTTGATCGTCACGATTTACGGATCTACGGGACCGTATCGTCTTGTCAGTTTCTCTCGAGTTTGCCTTTCGTTTGCTCGTTAAAAATTATATACAATTTTTGGCTTATTTTTCATATACTCACGTTAATCACCGACGAATGACTTTTTTTGGCCTACTAATAATTATATTTCGAAAAATTCATTATATCGAGTTTATACACTGGTACGCGGTCTTTTGAATGATTGCTGCTAGATTGACAGGTACGAGCACTCTTGAATTATCTAATGACCAGTGACGCTCGCGGACTGAAAAAAGCAACAATGCCTCGAGGGTGATGTCATTTATATTTCTTTTTTTTGGGATCGTACGAAATATTATATTTCTGAAAATCTATTAACGACGTTCGCGACGATGCGTCATTCTTACGTACATTCGATCATCGTCCTTGCGTAACCACTAGAGAAACTGACTGTCATACGAAGGCCGATTTCAAAATTTCGAAGTCACGTATACAAGATTTTCTCGATTAACAATAAAGTCGAAAAGAAATATTATTTTGACACTTGCGCTGTCTCTGGGTAAGAATTTTTTTTTTGATTTTTTTTCTCACCCAGTCACAGTTCTTATACAGGTTCTCCGATTTCTTGCTTTTTTCTTTAACTTTACTCCCGCAGGATGAATCAGTGTCAAATGCGAAGGAGCAATAGCGCGGGAGCCGTCCGATACGGTGGCATCGTGTTTTTGACTTTTATTTCTTTTTTTTTTTTTCGTCTTCTCATATATCCATTTTCTTCTTCTCTCCGTCCTTTCTCCTACCACGAACATGGCAGGCGCAGTAGGTGAAAGGTAGGGACCCGCCATTACTACTGCTTCCCTACGAACAGCTTCCCGATTAATTTTTCAA